CCGCCCCCGCCAGGTAAGTGCCCCGGGTCCTGGGGAGGTGGGGGCGGGGTGGGGCGCCCGGCCGAACTGTCCTGCCCTGCCCGGAGGTCGCGCGCGGCTGGGAGAAAGGCAGCTGGGCTTAAACCTGGGCCACCCGGGCGAGTCCACCTGTGAAATGGGAACGTCGGGGCTCGTTAAGCAAGCATCCAACTGCATGTACTGGACGCCGCTGCCTTCAGGGAGCTGCAGTCCGGGAAACGTGCGTTCCAGGCAAATGCCCGCTCTTGTGAAGATGGCGGAGATCTTTCAAAAAATTCGGATTTCCAGGGTTTCTTAAAAATACTGGACCGCATTCCCGGGGCCACGGCCTACTGGAGACTGAGGTGCCCCTAGATGGCAGCGGGGATCCTCCGGTTCTCCACGGACAGCGCCAGGCGCCCTTCAGTCATGATGGATTCCTGGCCTCCGGGGGCATTTGAGATGGAGACCTGGAACCTTCGCAGTCCAGATCGGCTGTGCCCAGAGAGGCAGGGGGATGCAGACTCCTGGGTTCAAATCCACAGGCTAGTCTGTCCCCTTCCTAGATCCTCCCACCTGTCAAACAGGACTGAAATGAGAACATGCTGCCCATAGCGGGGTCTGAACATTAGGAAGTGCTTGGGGCTCCATCAGGCTAGGAGTAGAAAATCAATAACATGTTTGCTGAATCTTAATGTGAAACCCTTTGGAAGAAACCAGTTCTCAGGAATTCATCTTGGACGGAGGGAGTTTCAGATTCCTTCCGGAGACAAGGTTTGGGAGGGGAAGGAAGAGAGCCAGTGGGGAACGGGCAGCTACCTGCCCCTGGGTGGAGGAAAGGTGCCCCTAAGTGGGTGGGAGGGGGCAGTAAAGTTCCCTCCACCCTCAGTTCTGCCTGGTGCTGAGTCTTAGACAATAACAGCCCCTTTGGACTGTGCCTTTTGGTTGCGGGTTCCTTGGGCTTTAATTACGAAGGTGGCTCTGAGAAGGTGGCCCCAACTGTTCTTCCCAAGGCCAAAGAAAGAATGACCACACTTTGTTTTCTTTGAGATGAGGTCACAGTGATGACAAGGGACTCGGCACCCTTAATGATGCTCATAAGTGTAGTCTACTCTTGTGTTTGAACACGGACTCTTATCCAGAGACTGAGTGGGTGCTCAGTGCCAGGCTGACTCCTACAGAACCCTTTATAAGACAAAATGGCGCCCCCTCCTGGTGGAAGAAGCACATAAAGGTGCTTCCCTCTAAGTGGGCAAGTGAAAAAAGGTGCCCCTTCCTTTGGACTGTGACAGGACACAGGGATTCTAGCTTCACTTGCCGCCTAGGTCAGGTGTTTTCGAGCAGTGCACAAGCTGTACAACTATCCGTGACATTCCCAATGTCCTTTCCATACATTATGTAATTTAATATACAGGTGGTGGAGAGACTGTTATCAGCCCTATTTTATAGCTGAAGACATTGAAGCTCAGAGAAGCTAAGTGACTTGCCCAAGGTAACAGAGCAGGCAGAACTAGAATTTCAATCCAGATTGCCTTCTGACTGTGAAGTGCCCACTGCCTTAGGTCCTGAGCGCAGGGATGTGGGGTCCCTGCTCTGGCACTCGGGCCCATATATGGGTTCCCTCACTGCCTGGAACATCTTTCCCCCAGACACCCACACAGCTCACTTCCTCATCGCCTGCAGATCTTTGTCCAGAAATGGTCACTTCTCAGGGAAGACTTCCCTCTCTAAATTGCAGTTCCTCCTCCGGCCGTTCCTTACCCTCCTGCCCTGCTTAAGTTTTCTTTAGAGCCCAGTCTGGAATATTGTATTTTATTTGTTTGTTCATTGACTATTCCCGCTACTTGCAGGTCAGTCCCATAAGGAGAGTTTGGTCTGTTTCATTCACTGCCATATCCCCGTCATCTAAAACAGTCTCTGGGCACCTTAAAGTTATTCAATGAATCAGTGATTCATAAAGTAATAAAACAACTAGCTTTCACTGGCCGGGAGAAAGAGCTGTTAGTCTTAATAACAATGATAATACTTTAACACCATGTTTCTCACCGTGGCACTCTTGGCATTTGGGATTGGATGATTCTGAGTGGGGTGTGGGCTGACCTGGACATATTATGACAATTGAACACATCTCGAGGTTTTGCTAGCATTAGAACAAAATTGTTTTGAATTGAGAATCATGATCTGACATGAGCAGATAACTTGAAATGCACCAGGCCCTGTTCAAAGTAGCTTACACACCTCATTGCAATCCACACAGTCCTAGAGGGTGGAGAGACTTATCAAAAGCAGACCTTGAGATAAGGACTGGGGCACAGGGAATTTATGGAGCAGGTGATCCCAGGAAGTTCTAGCAAGGGAACAGAGAGTTTAGACTCTGGACCTCCAGGCCTTTAGGGGTCTGCAAGTTGATGGAGGCCTTGACCAAGTTTCAGGACTCCAAAGGTATAACAAAATGCGTACATTTCTCTGCTGCTCAGAAGCTTTTGACCAATGCAAAGACTACAGATAGTAAATATTAATGCATTGGTAAAACATAGCATTGAAAATATTTTCTATCATGTGGCCCAAAGTGGTAGGAAGAAGGAGGGAAAAGCCAGAAGACTGGAAATAGTGGCTGCAGAACCATCTCATGTCATCCCTCTGGTTTGGAAATTACAGACTGTTGGTCTGTTCTTCTGTTGTTTCAGTTTCCATGATGTGAGCAATCATCTTCTGCTTTTTAAAGAAAAAGCTAACCAGCTGTTTTTTAAGCAGTACCCATCTATGTACTTTCAATGGCACATGAACCTCTTAATTTTTGTCGTATTTCTGATTCAAACTAAAGCAGAGGCCATAAACGTAATCCCAGACCAGTTTTATTTGACCTCCAAATTGCTTAAAAATTGTTAAGTTAGTTGCCCACATTTAAAAATCAGAAGATTTGTATTTGTCGAAATACAGATTTATGGTGTAAAACAAAATTCAGCTCTGGAAGCACTGGGAATGGCTGGCCAGAGCTGACCAACAGCCGATCCATTGGCACAGGAAGACTCTCCAGTTTGCCATACCTGTTTGTCTTACCTGGCCTACTTTTTCCCTTTATCTTACCTGTCTGTCCCCTGGGGGCATTTGGGCTTTCAACCTCTGCTTTGGGTTTTTGAAGACCTTTTAGTCTACTACTGAGTGGGTCACTCTTCTAGTTAAAAATGTGTCAGTTATAGAACAGGCTGTGCTGCTGTAACAAAGACTCAAAAACCTAGGGGCCTAACCTACGAGGTGTTTACTTCTCTTTCAGTTAATAGATCAGAGGTAGACAGGTGGTCCGTGGCAGGCAGGTGGTTCTGCTCCACGATCATCCAGGGACCCAGGTTTCCTCCGTCTTGTTGCTCCAAATGGTCAAAGTGGCTCCCAGCCCACAGGAAGAGGGAGAGAGAGAAGGAGAGGAGCAAACAGACATCAATGCAAGGACAAGACCAGAAGTTACATCATCACGTCTGCTCACTTCCCGTTGGCCAGAGCTCCATCACATGGCCACACCTAGTTACAAGGGAGACTGAGAAATATAGTCTCCAGCTTGGCCACCCAGTGCCCACTCGAGACTTAAAGTTCTGTTACTAAAAGGAAGGGACAAATGTGCGCTGAAGAACCACAGTTTTTCCTCTTCCAGGGAACCTCTGGGTTTCATCATGAAATGTAGGTTCCCCAACTCGCAGAGGCTGGGGCGTTTCTCAGGTACTTGAGGAGAGCCTCAGCTTAACCGTGTATTATTTTGTTAGTTTTAGATTGGCTGGTACAGCCGAAACCTCGATGGCTTGGTGGCAACGGCTGGCTCCTGGATGGCCCCGAGGAGGTATTACAAGGTACCTACAGGATGAAGCCCAGACCTGATGTCAGAGCCAGGATCCCTCCTCCTCAGGCTGCCCCTAGAATACTGACAGCAGGGGCTGCCTGTGCTCCAGCAGTCTGCCTGTTCCCAAGTACTCAGCCCTCTTGGAGCCTCCCCAGCTCCAGCAGAGAAGGATGATGGCGGGGCTCGGCCAGGCTGTCAGCGTCCCCAGAACAGTGTAGGGTTGGACTCTCCCTGGGAATGGGGCCTCCTTCCTGGTGGAGAATTGAGAAGGAAGGGGCTTGAGATTGGTTTTCAGATCCCTAAAATCATAATAAGGGGTTCTCTGCTTCCTGATGGTGAGGCCCCTCCAGGGAGGGTGGAGCAGTTTCTGAAAAGAACCATATGCAGGCCCAGGGCCTAGAGAACAGTGGGGGTTCAGGCGTGTTCAGTTGCATGCGTGCAGCTGTGCTTGTGATTCTGCACACTTCCATGTGTGTGACTGTGTCCGTTAGGGAATGCAGCTGTGCAAGCAGCTCTGTGGCCGTGTGTGTCTGAACATTTGTGCATCTGTGTTCATTTAAATGCGTGCGACTGTAAGTGTGAGAATGAGTGTGTGTGTGCGGGATTTGCTTGTGAACGTGTGTGGGTGGCTGTATGTGTAGTATGTATACGTGTGTTAGGACTTGTAAGGTGGTGAAAATGTGTGTGTGTGAACATGTGCATACACATGTGACTAAATGTGAACACCTACGTTTCAGGGTGTGCGGGTGAACATATATGTATATGTGTTACAGTGCACGTGAGAATATATTTAGGATCATGTGACTTTGGACTTCGCGCGCGTGTGCGTGTGCATATGTGCATGTGCACACACACGACACTGTGAGGAAGACCCAAGGCACAGCCTGGAACCTGGAGGGTGAAGATGAGGGTGGCCTCTCTTGGGTAATGCGCATTCACTGCCCCCAGGGAGGGGCTGCCCCTGAGATCCTGGCTTGTGTCCTTTCCACAGCAGAGGCTTGCAGTACCACAGAGGACGGGGCGGAGCCACTTCTCTGTCCCTCAGGCTACGAGTGCCACATCCTGAGCCCAGGTGACATGGCTGAGGGCATCCCGAACCGTGGACAGTGCGTCAAGCAGCGCCGGCAGGCAGGTGAGTGTGGGTGCCCAAGCCCTGCTCCTAGCCCCTGCCCCAACCCCACGCTCCCTGTAACACCCCCCCACGGGAGACCTGTTGCAGAAGAAACCACTGGCCCCCTGAGCCTGGCCCAGAGCCCCTCCTGTCTTCTTACTCCCCTTCTCCTCCTTTCAAATCTTCCATCCTTCCCCGTTGCCTGCACATGACGCAGGCCCTGGAGTCAGCAGGCTGTCTGCAAACCTCAGTTCTGTCACCTTCTAGCTGGCTGACCTTGAGTCAAGTGCTTCAATCCCTGAGCCTCAAGTTCCCCATCTGTAAAATGGGATCCCTTCACGCCGTTATGGGAATTAGTTTAAATCATGCATGGAAAGGCCTCGAAGCAGAGACAAGAGATCTAGGTGCTCAGTAAACATCGGATGTTTCATATCCACCTATGTATCTATTTTTTAATTGTCTGAGAACCCTTAACTTCTGCTAGGATCATTCAGTGTGACTTAATGAGTCTCTGTCTTTTGGGGGGGAATGCAGTAGACAGAGAGTGAGGGGCATGAATAGTGTCACTTTAGTCGGCATCATTTTCCAAAGAGGGGCAAGGACGACAGAGCAAGGACTCCTGGGGTTACCTCGAACTCATGTGTGCCTCAGATAAGGCATAAGGTCGAGAGGTTTGGTATGGATTTGGAAGAAATATGTAGGAAGAGAAGAATCTGGAACTTCAGAGAGATGTAGGGTCCTAATCAAAGTGGAGCCCATTGGAACTCTGAGTCCACATGATCCAGGGCCGCTTCCCCACTTCTGCATCTCTGAGCCCTAGTAGCTGAGGACAGCACCTTCGGTCACAATCGAGGATAATTGCAGCGACCCTATTGGCCAAAAGAATGCATCGGGGTGCCGATCTGCCAATGCGTTTTTTGTCCTGATTTGAGAATTTATTTCTCTGAAGTGTTGCAAGAAAGACATGCACATTAAGTCAGTTACACATTTAGTATCATTATCATCACAAGTAATGAAATTATGAGACATTAGAACTTATCTTGAGGATCCCGATCCCTGGAATTCTGGGCTTTGAAAAAATTGCCTATAAAAGGATTTGAACTTTTCACAACTAGGTATCTTTGTGAGCTTTTCTGCATTCCACTTGCTTCTTAAGGTTATGAGCAGATTCTCTAGCCGGATGGCCTGGGTTCCAGTGGCCACTCGGGCCCTCGCTACTGCGTGGCACAAATAGAACATTTCCAGGCCTCATTTTCCTTATCTGTAAAGTGGGCTCGTGATCCTTTAGCTAACATGCCTCTCGCTTCACAGGCACAGAACAGAATCTCCACTATTTGTGCCATTGTTCATCTCTAGACACCAAATCACACCTTAGGTAGATGGGGCATGTGGTCCATCAGATGCAAAACCCCAAGGGCAGGCCAGTCTGTAGGACCAGGGCCGGAGGGTGGAAGGAACAGCCTTTGTCAAAGGAGAGCTGTGGGGTGAGTCAGGAGTTATTTAGACTGTAATGTCATTTTTGTAACTGAAAAGTCCTGGAACTACTTTGCCTTTCTCATTCCCCTGGTCTTGCTTATTCAGTTATATGAGACCCACTTCAAGGATGGAACTAAGCAAAGAGAGCAATTAAATGATGCCTACTGTTGGCCGAGCACCTCAGGGATGCTGTCTTTAAGCTTTATCATAAGCCTATAAAAGGAGAAATATAACCAGAATGCAGTGTCACATAGGATTAAGAGTGAAGGCTCAGAACCACTAAAACAAGTTCAAATCCTGTGGCTTTCTTCCCTGGTGGCCTTGGGCAGGTAACCTCACCTTTCTTAGCCTCAGTTTCTTCACCCATAAAATGGAGCTCATGATGGTCACAACAGTCATTTCTTCGTGGGTGTGGTTATGAGTCTTGAATAAGAGAACACCTGTAAGGTGGTTAAAGCAGCACTCAACACATAGTAGGTCCTCAATGAATGGACATAGCTATCATCTCTGTCTTATGGAAAAGGGAGGACTTGCGTTCAAGACCTTGCCCAGACAGTGCACACAGTTGACAGGAGCAGAGTGGGAATTCCAAACCTGTCCACCTGCTCTAAAGCCTGCGAGTGTGTGCATGTGTGTGTGTGCGTGTGTGTGTGTGCGTGTATGTGTGTGGTGTGCGTGCATGTGTGTTTGCTCCCCCTCACACAGGAACAATCTGAGCCTTACAGATGGAAATGTAAGTGAAATTCCTAGCCTTGTCCCCAGAGCGGGGCTGTCACTTAGCAAGAATTGTTGGTACTTAATAGGGAGTTTGTAGACACCCCAAATCCCAATAACTTTTTGTGGAGCAAAGGTTGGGGGGCGGTGCGGAGTGGGCACTCTTGACCCAGGGCAACCAAAGAAGAAACCTTTTATTTAAGTTTTTTTAAAACTACATATTTTAAATAATTTCAGACTAAGAGAAAAGTGACAAGAACAGTACCTTGGACCCTGTACCCTGATTCACCAATTGTTACAATGTTGCTGCATTTGCTTTATCATTTTCTCTCTCCTCCCAACCCCCACTCTCTCTCCATATAAATCTACATATTTATTTTTTGGGACTATTTGAGAATAAGTCGCAGATCTCATGCCCACACCTAAGATGCCAGTCTCCTCCGAGAGCCAGCTTCTAGAGTGGACTGATGATCATTCAGGTTTTATAGTCCATCAGTCTGGAATCCAGCATTTGAGGGGTTCGTGTCTTTCTCAAGAGGAAAATGAACATTGAAACATGTAGTAAATCTGATTTTTTTGAGAATCAGTATTCTTTTCTGAATGGGTTCAAGATCACTCAGAGGCTGAGTGTCCAGGCCCAAGAAGTGGGCGACGGGGCCCTGTGCTCACCTCTGACAAATGACTTCACGTCTGTGTCATGAGAAGAATAAAGTAAGATCACATAACCTTGAACAGGCATTATGAGCCAGAATTCATCCTCAGGAAGACAGGTGGAAAAGGAGTGTTTTAGAGAGCCTCCAGCATGGAAAAAACCCTAAAATTCATCTTAGTGCTGATAAGTTATCCACCTCCCCAAGGCTGCTGATAAGGTATCCATCCGCCTGAGAGTCACCTCCCTTGGGCTCTGTCGCCATGTACAATAAATACCAGCGCTGGTCCTCAACACTCAGGTGGTTATTAGGATGGCCACAGAACATAAGGAAACAAAAGGTCCAGCTATTGCATAGAGGTGATTTTTCAGTGGAGGTATGATTGGCATAACTGAGTTTCAGGTGCATGAGTGTGATTTTTAACGTCATAGCCGTCCGGAAAGGCTGGTGCACTGATGGGGAGAAGTGAGCTAACTGGTGGCAGACATTGCCACGTGAAACGTGTGTCCCAGCCAGAGTTCCAGTCTCCCCCAAGGGTTTTACTATTGGGATAGTGTGGGGGCTGCAGGAGGAGGTGAGGTTAATGACAATCAAAAGAGAGAATTATGTAGTGGGAATTCTTGGTGATGTGAGATGTATGAGGTTGCCAAGAGTTGACCACTTTTTACGCACAAAAACGGCAATTTTATATGATTCCTTTTAATATTGTATATACATTTGGTACCCGACGTTATTGCTTTTGATTCTCACGATTTTATGCCCATTTATGCCCATTTCCAGGAGAGAAAACTGAGGCTCAGAGAGGATTAGTGAAGCAGTCGAGTGAAAATTCAATCTGAAGTTACTTTGTCATTTGTAGAAATGACACTTGAGTCTCTTTTGAACGAACTTGAAAAAATACCATTTACTCCCCGTGTGAACATATTTTGTAATGATGTTTGCTGAACAACATGCTAAAATTTTGCTTCCCGTTCATCTGTGAAGACAGCGGTTCCCAAACTTTTTGGCCTCAGGACCCCTTTGTACTCAGAAAGTATTGAGGATCCTACAGAACTCTCCTTCATGTGGCCGTGGATATTAGAAACTAAAGCGGAGACATTAAAAATATTACATGTTAATTCATTAAAATGACAATGGTAAATTCATTAGGTAGTAAACAGAAATAACATTTTTTTCCCTTAAAAATAACTATATTTTCCAACACACAAAAAAATAGAAGAGCAGCACGGTGTTACATTTTTACAATTCTAAATGTGAATTAAGAGAAAAGAACTGGATCCTCACATCTGCTTCTGCATTTGATCGGCTGCAACGTGAAAGTTATGTAGCCTCTGGAAAATTCTGCTGAACGCCCTCAAGAGAATGAGAGTGAAACACATAAATAATTCCTTAGTATAATTATGAAAATAGTTTGGGTCTTATAAACTTCCTGAAAGGTGTTTAATTCTCTCACTTGTTTTCCAGATGGGCGACTTCTACGACACACATTTTACAAAGAGTATCCAGGTAAGAGAAAAAAAAACATTATTTGCAGAGGATCCTAAAAAGAACAATGAGCATTTCTCGGGTGAAGAAGAAAAATAAAACTCTATCAACTATTATGAGAGCTACATTTGAAGCTGCTAAGAAGGCAAATGGCCGTGTTCTCCCCAGGTTCTTTTATGCCATCAAATGGCACTTTTGGATGGGATGGGTGGTGGGATGCCAAGATGTTTCTGTTGTTGAAAATCTCTCCTCCAACCTGGGAAGTCCTCCAGGTGGCATCCAACATGGGCCGGAGCCATGTCAGGCTGCAGGCTAGGAGGGTCCTGGCAGGAGCAAGGCCCAGGCCTGGGGGTGTGGGGAGCATCTAGACACGTGACCAAGACAAGGACTGAAGCAGCAGCTCAGGGATGCCTCATAGGAGACAACACAGAAACTGGGGTTGGGAAATAAAGGAAAAGACCTGTTGTCTAATGGTGGGCAGAGGAGGTATGAATCAAATCGGGGTTCATAGCAATTATGGTTTCATGCTAAACATCAGAACCTGGGACTGGAGATTCTTAAATTGCTCCTACCTTCATTTGCAGAATTGAAAAATATGACTGACACTGTTATTCCATTCAGTTATCCATTGATTCATCTGTCCGTCCATCCATCCATCCATCCATCCATCCATCCATCCATCCATCCATCCATCTATGTAAAAATTCATTCAGTCATTCCATCCATCATCCAGTAATTCATTTAATTATCCATCCATTCATGATCCATTCAATAATTCATTCATTCATAATCCATCTACCTGTCTCATAATTTATTCAATCATCTATCTGCCTATTCATCATATTTTGATTAAGCATTTAGCAAGCATTCTGTGCTTCTTCATTCTTCATTCTATTTTTATTCTGTGCTAACAGTTGGGGTTACATCCGTGAACATGGCAGATCCAGTCCCTGCCATCACACAGCTAATATCAAGCAGAAAATTCAAACATTAATAAGCCCAAGTGGTTTTTCAATAACAGCAAGTGTAAAAATCTGAGGTTGGAAGCAACTTGGCTATCGCTGTAGCTGGAGGGTCTCGTAAGTGACGGGGAGAGTGGCAGGAGATGAGGCCAGCAATGTGGGCAGGGCCAGACCACACAGGTGGTGAGGCATGGTGAGGAGAAGTGAGAGGCTGCATAAGTGGGGACTGGGTGACCTCATTTGCAGGAGGAGGGAGAACCGGGCTAGGGCGCCAGGCAGGGCCAAGGTATTTGGACTTCACTTGAGCGGAAACTGACATGCCTGCCCTGACTGGGCTCTAGTGTTTTTTTCGTTTGTTTTGTGTTGTGTTGTGTTGTTTTGTTTTGTAGAGGGTGACTCCAAAAATGTGGCAGAACATGGAAAAGGACAACAGAGGCACTTTCAATAAAGTTAGGGATGCGGGTAAGTGGGAGGAGTGATGAGGTCATGGAGTGGGGTGATCTGGGGCAGCCAGGTGTCCTAGGGAGCTTTAATCATGACGTTGACCAGTGGGAGGGTAAAGAATGGGGCTTTACCTGCAGGTGGAATTTTAAACTCCCTTATAATTTTAAAGTGAACATATGAGAACTTCATATGTTATCAGAAGTGGAAGCTCCTGTACTCTCTGGACCCAAACCCAAAGACTCGACTGGGTTGTAACTTACCTTTCCATCCCTTTGCCCTAATGCCTGTACGAACAGGCAGACAAGTCCTCCATTGTCCCATGAAGTCTGTCTCTCTGTCTCTCCCTCCCTCTGTCACGTGAGACAATCAAATGCCAACTCTATGATAAACTTGTGCTTAGTTGCTCAGCAGTCATTCAGGAGCTGTGCTGTGGGTAGCAGTGACTAGAGCAGACAGAGCTCCGAATGGCCTCTAACATGCCTCAGTAGGAGACTAACAAGTCAATGAGTAAGTCAACGAGAAAGTGACAGACTGCAACACGTGAAGGAAAAGGACAGGTGATGTGGCGCAGAGTAATAGATGAAGAAACTAAGCCTGGAAGAGTTGAAGTCATTTGCCCAGGGTCACATGGTGGTAGAGCAAGAATTTAAAATAACCCAGGTCTGGCTGGCTCCTAAAAGCCATCCTAAACCGCCACTCACAGCTGTGTTCTTCCGCTCTGGCCCCCGCACTTCCACGTGTAAGGTTCACAGTCCTCAAGTGGGTCAGGGGATGGGGACGAGGAGCTGCTTCAGATGGGGGTCAGGAGAAAAGGTGCTGCCCAGGGGAGACCTGGAGAACAGATGCCCAGGCAGAAGGAGCCAGAAGGAGAAACACCCCGAGGCAGGAAATATCTTGGCTCAAAGAAGCCACAGGGAGACCACTGGGGTGGAAACTGAGTGATGAGTGATGGAGGGGAGGCCGGCACCAGAGGAGGTTACAGGTTAGCCACAGGCTCCGCTCTCAGATGCTGTCCAAGGTGAGATGCAGACGAATGTGAAGGGCTGTGGGATCGCAGTGACTGGAGGGGTCTCAGTGGATAAAGCCCCATACTCACTCATTCCCTGTGAAAGCGGATTGTCTACACGTGGTAAACAAAACCTCTTGAAAGCGAGTGATTTCCCCAGAATGTCCTTGAAAGGCAAACACCGCAGACTATTCAATCGTGAGTCCGCCAGGAAAACCTAGAGCCAGCGGGGATTGATGCCAGCATGTCTATTACTAGCTGGTGACAGGAACAGTCCTTGCAGTGGGTCTGACCCACCCGAGGACTGTGAACCTTACACGTGGAAGTGCGGGGGACCCGAGGGGAAGAACAACGTGAGTGGCGGTTTAGGATGTGGCTTTTAGGAGCCAGCCAGACCTGGGTTTAAATTCTTGCTCTACCACCATGTGACCCTGGGCAAATGACTTCGACTCTTCCAGCCTCAGTTTTCTCATCTATAAAATGGGAATGATGAGACAGATGTGTCAAGAACTAAATAAGATGGGCCCCATGGAGACTTCACAGAGAGTTAAGAATCTAGTCTTAGCAGAAACTCTCATCTTCCTGGTGTCTGGCGGGAGAGGAGGAAGAGGGACTTACACAGATCGTCACCCCCATGTTCTTCCCAAGCAGTGGCTCATATTCATTCCTTCTTTGCTTTCTTTTCAGACAGTTTGAAAAAACATTCCTCCACTTTCCGCTAAGCCTCGGAAACAGTTGTGTAAAAATGATTCGACCTGCAGTGGTTATGCGCAGCTCAGCAGAGCATGACCCCAGAGATACTTAGAGACAGGACACCTAGCTCTCAACCCCAGCACGGTCCCACCTTGGCTGGGTGACTTTGTGGGAGCCATTTACCAGCACTGGGACCCTGTTTCGTCATCCTGGAAACAAGGCACTCCTAGGAATCTCATTTGACCCTGCAGCCCCACAGATCCTGCCCTGGGAAGAAGTCGCTGCCCTGTGAGCATGAAGCCCTTTTCTAAGACAGAGTTCAGTGTCTTGTTATTTACAGGTTTCTTCTAAGTCTGACTCTGGCAATTATGAACCCAACCCAAATGTTCTCAAAATATATTCGCTCATCATAAAATGGAAATGAACTTAATCTACTCACACGTGGTTCATAGTTTTGACCACCTGATAATCTTAAATCGGGTATGCTGACGTCATTGGCTCCTGGGGGTGGGAGGCAGGCTAGATGTTGCTGGGTGTCAGCCCGGCTCTGCTTCCGGAACCCAGGAGTAGCCAGGCCACCCACGCACATTTTAGTTAGGAGACTCGGGGAAGAGGATGCGTTGAAAGCGACATTAGAAAAGTTCTTGGGAAAAGCTGGGATGGGAGGGGAAAGAAGTCAGATAAGGCGACGTGTCGTGGTCCCAAGATGGTAACTTTGGTGCCACCTCCTGAGGGTCTTGAGCAGCCTGAGTCCCACCAGGGCAGGTTCCAGGGCTGGGAACCCGTGCGGTCACTCGGAAGGGCTCTCTGCTTGGTGTAATGAGATTCTTAGCAATTGTTGAGCCAGGGGCTTGCATGTTCAATTGCAAATGGTGTAGGTCAAGGGTCCCCAACCCCCAGGAGGTGGACTGGTATAGGGCCAAGGCCTGTTAGGAACCAGGCCGCACAGCAGGAGGTGAGCGAAGCTTCATCTGTATTTGCAGCCGCTCCCCAGGGCTAGCATCACCGCCTCAGCTCTGACTCGGATCTTCAGGCGCTAGATTCTCATAGGAGCACCGGTCCCTGGTGCCAAAAAGATTGGGGACTGCTGTGTTACATGATTCAAATCTCAACAGTGTCTGCACAAAAACAGTGTCTCTACATACACAGGCTTGTGGGGGAAATGATTCCATTTACTCCAGAGCCCACTTTCAAAACAGCCCATGGTGATTGGTGTTAATAAATCGTTCGGCAGGATTCAACCTTTTTAATTCCAAAATGGGTTTATGTGGAGACAACACCTGAGTACTCATATTTTAAAAACAAGCGGCACTCCTGTCCCGTGTCCCCCTACACCTTCCCCCACCCACGCACACACACCTACCACCCCCCGCCCCCCATACAATCCACATTCTCCTGGAAAACGCTCCGAGTCCAGTTTAAAGTAGAGATTGATAGCTGATGGGCCTTCATATTCATATTACATTCATATTGCTCAGGAATTCTTTTCTTGTTTTTTATTTTGTTTTTGTGTGTGGAACATGAGTGAAAAACAGTCAAGTGATTCATGTAAAACGCGTATAAAGTGGGCATCTGTCACACTACCTGGGGGAGGTTTTGACCTTCATGTTGATGGAAAAGAAAGGCAGCTTCACCCAAGGATGGCAGATCCACCAGGAGGCATTTCAGGGAAATTCGTCCTTCCATTCCAGGCACGAACCCCACTGTGGAATTTATGCAAGTGATTTCTGTGAGACAAGTCAGAGGTTACGGCTTGGGTGACCCATGAAATGCCCAGAGCCCTACCTTTCCTGGAGGGTGGATCTCACTGGTCTGGAAGGAACCTGGACCTGGGGTTGGCTGAAGCCTCTGGCAGGGACGGGATCTAACAAGCAGCAAGGCTCATCAGGGCTGAGGACCGAGGGTCTAAGGGACTGCAGCTCTCAGATGAGGAAACAAGTGAATGTCAAAGATCTAAAAGAACTTTTACCCGAGTCACACAGCCACGTCTGTCCTACCCACAGCTCTGGCTCCAGAGACCCAACTATTCTGCTAGTTCTGGCTTGTCAAAGCACATCCCTTCAGCCACTGAGGCCCAGAAGGGGACACTGTTGGTGTGCAGTTCTGCAGAGGGCTCTGGGGACAGGGCTGAGCTCATCCCCACTTCTGGAGTGCTGCTCGTGAGATGGGGCAGAGAGAGGGGAGACTGGTCGATCTGGGTTCTAATCCCGAGCAAGACGCTTACCTTCTCCGAGCCTCAGTTTCCTCCTCTGTAAAGTGGGTGTGATAAGAATAGCTGCCTTTCAGAGTTGCCGGGGAGGATTGTGTGGTATGATAGATTACGGTAAGTGCTCGGTGGGCATGGTTATAATGCCTTGTTATTATCTTGTCACAATAGTCCCCTGGAGGCACAACTGCCCTAGTCGAGAACCTCTGGTTGAAACCCAAATAATTTCTATGACTTCACTCACCCATAAGTTCCACTGGAGCATTTCCCTTTAGGTTCAGGTAATTAATTAACTTTCCCACTCACTCATCACCTATTCATTCACTCATTTATACATTCATTCTGTCAAGAAATCTTTACCAAGCACTAACTTCCTTTTCTTGGTGAATCCAGTATGGACAAGTTTTGTCACCTGTCCCTATTCCTGAAGTTGGGAAGCGTCACAGCCACAGCCAGCAGACAGCAGGCATCACTGCCTGCATGCGAACACGTTGAACCATGTAGGTCGGGTACAAGCAGCTTGGTGGAAACGTCCCGGAACAGAAGAACCGCTTTCCAGGAAATTCTGTGTCACCGGTGCTCTCGGGAATTCAGAGGGCCTCACTGGCAGAAAAACTCGGGGACTGGCAACACCGCATGGAAAAGTGATTCGGAGGGATCGGATCCAAAAATGATAACCGAGGAAATACCTTCTAATCCCATGATTTCATTTGTGTTTTCTTGATATATGTACAAGAATGAGACATGATTAAAATCGACATCTAGTGAGTCTGAAAGAGGTTTTTAAGAAGTTTGAAATAGGTTTGAAAGCATCGATCGGTTTAGCTGGCAGTGCTTTTTCCTTTTGCTTACATGTAAAGTTATGTTTGAATTATGATATCTGCTGCCTGTCACAGTTTCAGTCTGAGACACGGAGGAGAACAACCCAGAAACTGCCCCTCCATGCACGTTTCTTGTATCATAGTGGGGATTTGAACCAGGCCCTGCTGACTCCGGGACCCTCTGCTCCTCCATTCTACTGCCCCAGGGAGGGGCTTGCGGCCCCCTTTCTGGTGGAAACTCCTCCCAGCCCTTCCTTGCACCTGGTTGGTTTGGAAACCAGGTGACCATGCTTCTCACCTGAGTTAAGGTCTAAGCAGAGGTCCAGCTGTCCAGGGTGTGACAGTGCTCTAGGCTTGGAGCTGAGTTCCAGCGGTGGCCCTGCTGACAGAGCTGTGTACCCCTAGACACAGAGCTTAGCCTCTCTGAGCCTCAGTTTCTACCACAGTGTAACAGGGAATAACACCTTCCATACCTCCCACGGGACCAAATGAGACAAGGGATGTGAAAATGGGCAGAACATTCAGGCCTCACAGGGGTCCTCCAGGGCTAAGAGGCAGAGGAAGGCAGAAGGTGCACTGGAGGCCTCAGCCTGGGATCGAAGGGGCCCGAGGGGTTACATGTCCACTGATGATAGAATCCCAGCTCCAACCTGCTGAGCAAATAGGGCTGTAAGGAAGAGCAGAGGGAAGGAGCAGTCAGGGGCATGGCTTTGGTGCTGGGCTGAGAGCGTTCGAGTCCTGCCTCTGACACTTGCTAGTGTGTGACCTCACGCAAGTTAGTCACTGTGCCTCAGGTTCCCCATCTGTAAAAGGAGGTGATGATACTCCCGGGCTCTTATGATAAGTAAAAGTGTTAAAGTATATGCACTTCTTAGAACAGTACGTGTTATGTAAGAGTTTGCTGGTATTGTTATTGTATTATTATGACCACTAAGGAAGAATTGACCCCACCACAGCTTGGGACGACAGGGCCTCGCCTGGGCTTCAGGGACAATAAGAAGCAAGGATGGAGTCTCCCAGTCTTTCAGTCTTCTCTGGAAAGAGTCTCCTCGTGATGTGAAATGTGACCCTGTCAGCTCAGACTCTCCAGCCCGCACATCCACCCCCTGAATGGGACTGAAAGAAAAATTGTTCTCTGCCCTCTGACACCCTGAGGAAGGCACGCAGATCTGGGCCCATCAGCTGAGGCCAAGGAAAGGGCGAAGGAAGAACTGGCAGCTCCCTTGTCAGCCATGGCAATGGGGGTGGGGGTGGGGATGGTACAGCAGGAAGGGGGGCGGTCCCAGGAAAATGCGCACATGGGGCGGGGCAGGCAGTCTCCTAGAAGTCCACACAGAGACCTCACTTCATGAGAGAGGAGAGCGGCAGCCCAGGATGTCTTGTGACTTCCCCAAGGCCACGCACAGCCCGGCAGCAACAGGTCGGGAACCCCGTCTATTTCTAGCATTCGCCCTGTGTCATTTCATTACACCTCATGGCAACCTGAGCGCAGGAGCCAGCACCTTCTGAGCACAGACTAAGTGCCAGGTGCCCTGTAAGCCCTTTACGGAAACTAACAACTCATCTGAGCTGTCCCAACCCATGAGGAAGACACCCATCTTACAGAAGCGCAGAAAACTCAAGTCACTTAGCCAGGGTCACCCAGCTAGTACCGGCAGAATGAGGATGCAGATGGAAGTAATCTGATTCTGGAGTCCTTGGGAGGTAGAAACGTTTCTTTTTTTAAACAGCGAGAAAAAGCATTTAATTTGTGTAGTTATACGAACACATATAGATATTGTTTGAGTTTTAGATGAAATATTGACTTGATTGTGACATTCTTATATCTGCAGCATTTGAAATAGAGAGCTGTTACAAAGTCGTTTGTCTCCTAGGAAGTACAAATTACAGGAAGCCCTTCTGGAAAAGATTATAGGAAGGAAAGAACACGTTTTGTTTTTTGTTTTTTTTTTTTGGCCATTGTCAGAATTAGGTTATATCTCATATTGAGGTCATCCACCTGTTTTGTTTTGTTTTGTTTTTAAATAATTTTTAAAAACTTTATTTGAAATGATGTTAAATTCACGAGACATGCAAGGAAGTGTACAGGGAGGTCCACCTCCCCCATGGTGACATCCAGCATAACTACAGCACAACATCACAACCAGGAAGCTGGCCCTGGTGCCATTCACAGAGAGTATTCTGTTTCCTTCGGTCCCACAGAGGAAGCTGAGAGGGGTGAAGCGATGTACCCAAGGCCACCCAGCTTGGAATTGGCTGAGCAGACCACTGGAACCCCAGAGCCCCACCCCCGACTCTCCCATTCTTCCAGGAACTGCAGGAGGCCAGCCCCACTTCTCCCATCCCATCTGGAATTTTCTTTCTTGCCCCACAAGACCTCCCATATTGAAGAGACAGCAGAGA